GGCCGGGCGGAGGACAGGGCCGGGCTGAGGGGGCGGGCGGCCGGGCGGAGGACGGGGTCTCGCTGAGGGGGCGGCCGGCCGGGCGGAGGAGCGCCCAGGGTCTTGGCGGGGGACTCCGGGCTTACCCGGCGCCTCTCTGAGCAGGGCGGGCCGCGCAGGGCGGTCGAGCGGTCTCCGCCGCTTTCGCGGGCGTGACTGCGGAGGGCGCTCGCCTTCCCTTGCTGAATTGTTAATCCGCCGAAATAACCACGGGGCCCGGCTCTGCCAGCGAACACCCGAAGCCTGCTTCTGCACTGCGGGCCCTGCGTCGCCCGCCGGCCGCCCCTGGCCTAACGGAGCCGTCGCGGGAGGTGTGGCGGCGGGGATCCTGCGCACGTCGCAGGGAGGACGCTGTGGCCGGGGGAGGGCGAGCTTCCGTTTTGGTGACTTTACAGGTCTGAGGGGCAGTGCTGAAGATGTGCGGGCGGACGTCCTGCCACTTGCCCAGAGACGTTCTCACCAGGGCCTGTGCCTACCACGACCGGCAGGGCAGGCGGCGGCTCCCGCAGTGGAGGGACCCGGAGAAGTACAGCCCCTCGTACAACAAGAGCCCTCAGTCGAGCAGCCCCGTGCTTCTCTCCCGGCTGCACTTTGAGAAGGTAAGGCAGTGGCAGCCCCTGCTAGCTTCTGGCCCAGCCTTGCAGCTCTCCCGACGCCTCTGGTGTCTGCCCAGCCAAGGGGCAGTGACCTTGAAAGCAGCCCTTACAGATAGACCCAGGCCCTAGTTGAAAATCGATCTGGGCCTCAGTAAGGAATAAGTCGGTATTCTTCAGGCGCAGCCAGACTTTTAATGCATGCCCAGTTTATATGGACCTCCTATTTGAATACATTTAAAAATTCTTTTGAGACAGAGGAACTCACTATTTAGGCCATGCTGGCCTCAAGCTTGCAGCAAACCTCCAGCTTCTGTCTCCAGAATCCTGTATTACAGGAGTGCACACTCTGCTTAGCTTGATTTTTTTTTTTTAAGATAGCAGCCTTTAAATATTAATGATTTATCGGCGTCATCTGAGTGTGGTTAAAAAAACAAACAGGTGTGGTACGCACTCCCAGCATGAAGGAAGCCAGAGGAAGCAGATCACTGAGTTAGAGGCTAGTCAGGGCTGCTTAGCAAAACTCTGTCTCAAAGAAAGTGATTAGGGAGCTTGCAAAATGTCTCAGTGGGTGAGCGCATGCACTGCCAAACCAGAAGGCAGAATTTGATTCCGAAAACTTGCAAGGTAGAACCAGCTTCTGCAAGTTGTCCTCTGTATTTCCTTCCCATTCTGTAGCGGGCATGCGTGAGAGTGAATGCATGCACACAAATAAATGTGAATGGAGCTGGTGATGTTACTTGGGGATTGTACAACATATTTCATATGCTCATAGCCTTGGGTTCAGTCCTAGCACACAAGAAATACATTTTTTTAAAGCTTAAACAATTTTTATGTGTACAGATGTCTTGCCCACATATGTATGTATATGTATACCAGGTGTGTGCCTGGTGCCCTTGGAGTTAGAGCTTCAGATACCCTGAAACTGAAGTTACAAACAGCCACCATTTGAGTGCTTGGAATTAAACCCAGATCCTTTGTGAGAGCAGCAAGTACTCTTAAGTGCAAACAGACCACGGTCCCTGTCCCAGTGGGTGGATCTTGGGGAGCAGGAATGGGGAGATGGAGCCCTCAGCAAATATAGCTCTCTTTTGGGGCATTCGAGTTTGCTCATGTTTGAGTGCACATCTGTAATGATTTATTTAGGTTGCTAGGGTTTCTTAACTTGGCAAATATTTGATACTTCATTTCCCTCTCTTTTTGCATTTTTCTCAAACCTGTAAATTCTGAAACAAAATGAGCATTTCAGTGTTTCAACTGCCAGCATGTAAGTATAGAAAGCAATATTTGTATTGGAAACCACTGATTTGCATAGTACTTCCTCATCTATCACAGTGCCACCAGCTGTTCTGGTCCAAGGTCAGACCCCGTACAGGAAGATGACTAATACCGACCAATAGTTTCAGTACTTGGCTTCTCAGCCACTTTGTAATCATCACTCTCTTGTTTGGGGTTTTGTGCAGTGATGAAAAACAGACCAATAGGATTGTGAGAGCAGGATTTCTTAATCAAGACATCACTAACATTTATATATATGCATAGGTGTTTTGCCTGAATGATTGTCTATGTACCACATAGACATTGTACAATGTCTGTGGAGGCCAGAAAAAGGTACCACTGAGGTATATGACTTCCTCCCCCAACAACCTTACCTGCCTACAGCTTTTCAGGGAGGGCTAGAGCTTCACGAGCAATCTTCTATTCATGGTTGAATGTTGAGAGCCCATTCTTGAGTAGGTCTTGTCACGAATCCAGTACTGCTCTTGAGTTCATGGGTGTCCAGAAGACAGTTTCACAGCAGTCCTCTGATCGTTCTATCTTTTCTGTTTTGTTTTGAGACAGGGTTTGTCTGTGTGTTCCTATCCTGGAACTCTTTGTAGATCAGGCTGGCCTTGAACTCAGTTCTACCTGCCTCCCAAGTTGCTGGGATTAAAGGTGTGCACTACTATGCCCAGATTAGTCCTTCCACTTTTATATTCTTTTATATTCTTTCATTAAGTTTTTGACAATTTTATTTACGAATACAGTGTACTGTGATTATTCTAACTTGACCATTACTTTCCAGCCCTATCTGCTGTTCTTTTCTTCATCCTTCTACTTTTCTTCCCCCCTTTAACTTTTTCATTCTTTTTATTCTCTCTTCCCTGTACCTTACAGGGATGATACAGGTGTCCATTTAGAACTGAACACTTAAAAGTCATAATTCTCAGAATTTTGACTAGCTGTGAGTCTCTTCATCACCCTCCACATTCAGAAGCTTCCAGTGCTCCAGGTTAGCCTGGAGTTCACACCAGCTCCCAGGTGTTGGGGTTGCAGGTGTTTTCTTGTTTTCTACCCACCATTCTTGAGCCACTTTTTTTTTTTTTTTTTTTTTTTAATGGAGACAGGGTCTCACTATGTAAGTCAGGCTGGCCTTGAATTCACAGAGATCTACCTGTCTTCCAGGTGCTAGGATTAAGAGCAGGCACTACACTGCTCAGCTGACTTCTTCCCCCTTAATAACCTTGTATTCTTTGTATATAGTAATTATGGACTTTCTGCTGTATCTGAACCTGTTTTATTTTTGTGTCTTGCTCAACCATTTTTGTTTTAAATTTATATATGTGCTCATGTGTCTGTGTGAGTGTATGTCAGTGGGAAGAGGTCCTCAGATTCTCTGTAGCTAGAGTTACATGCAGTTGTAGCTGCCAGACATGGTGCTGAGACCTAAGTCAGGTCCTCTATAAAAGCAGCACGTGCTCCCAACCACTGCATCATCTCCGCAGCACTTGAGCAGGATTTCTGTGTCATCCAGGCTTGCTTGGGACTTTTTATATAGCCCAAACTGGTCTTTTTAATTATTTTTTTTTTTTTGTTTTTTTGAGGCAGGGTTTCTCTTGTATAGCCTTGGCTATCCTGGACTCACTTTGTAGACCAAGCTGGCCTGGAACTCACGGAGATCTGCCTGCCTCTGCCTCCCTGAGTGCTAAGATTACAGGCATGTGCCACCACACCTGGCTCCCAAACTGGTCTTAAATTAGCAGCAATCCTCCTGCCTCAGCCTTTTGAGTGCTGGGATTACAAGTGTGAATCACCAATTTAGATGCTAAATCTGAACCTTTTTTTCAATGGCAGGATGCAGACTCATCAGAGCGGATAATCATTCCCATGCGATGGGGCCTGGTCCCATCTTGGTTCAAAGAAAGTGACCCTTCCAAGCTGCAGTTCAACACGACCAACTGTCGGAGTGATACCATAATGGAGAAGCAGTCATTCAAGGTAGGTAGCTTGTCCAGGGAAAGGGCACTCTAACATTGTTGAGTATTTTGTATACCTGAGAAATATGGCTCCAAAAGATATTCCCAGGGTTTTGTTGTTGTTTTGGTTTTTTGTTTTGTTTTCTTTTTCTCAAGATAGTGTTCTGTGTAGCCCTGGCTGCTCTGGAACTTGCTCTGCAGACCAGAGTGGCCTCAAACTCAGAGGTCTGGCTTCCTCTGCCTCCCAAATGCTGGGATTACAGGTATATGCAGCCACCACCCTGCTAAGATATTCCCAGTTGTTAACGTTGAGTTCTGTTCTGTTTATTGCTATGTTCTAGACCAGTAATGCCCAAACTTACTGGTTTTGGTGGTTTGAATGAGAACGGCTCCCATTGGCTCATAATAACTTGGTCCCCAGTTGGTGAAACTGTTTAAGAAGGTATTAGGAGGTGTGGCATGATTGGAGGAGCTGTGTGACTGGGGAGAGAGCTTGGAGGCTTCAAAAGCCCATGACACTACCAGTTAGTACTCTCATTCTCTTTCTGGTAATTGTGCCTCAAAATACAAAACTGTAACCTCCCGTGAAACCCTTTCTTTGAGTTGTTTTACACGGTGTCTTATTACAGCAATTGAAAAGTAACTAGGACAGTGGTTTAAAACTAAATAATTGGCCCAAGATGGTGGCACCCACTTTTAATCCCAGCACTGGAGAGGCTGAGGCCAACAGATCTGCGAGTTCAAGGCTAACTTGGTCTACTTAGTGAGCTTCGGACCAAACAGAGGTATACAGTGAGACCTTAATCTCAAAATGAGGGTGGAGGTAGCAAACAGAAGGTTCCCTGGGTGAAGCAGCTGCTACCAAAGCTAATGACCTGACATCAACCACCAGGACACACATGGTAGAAGGATAGTATCAACTCCTCTCGAAAATTGTCTTTTGACTTACACATGCCCCTTCCCCACCAAAAATAAATAAAAATAATAAAATTTTAAAGGCAAAAAAAATTATCTCATGTACTGTGGAGTAATTGTGCTCAGTGAGGCAGTTTTTACTGGCAATGTTTGATGTACTTACCTGTCTGAGGATAGCTACCTATGGTAGTTGTACTGGTTAGTTTTTTTGTCAGATTGACACAAGCTGAGCTCTGCTGGAAGGAAAGAACGTCAACTGAGGAAAACCTCCCATCAGAGTAGACTGTGGGCATGTCTGTGGGGCATTTTCTTGATCAGTGATTGGTGTGAAAGGACCCAGTTCACTGTTGGCAGTATCACCCCTAGACAGGTGGTCCTGGATTATATGGAAACAAAAAAAACAAGACCGAGCAAGCCATGTGAAGCAGGCTGGTAAATGGCATTCCTCCAAGGCCTCTGTTTCCATGCCTGTTGCTATTATTATTGTTGTGTGGACAGGGTCTTTATGTAGCCTTGGCTGTCTTGGAACTCACTCTGTAGACCAGGTTAGTCTCAAACTCAGAGATCCACCTGCCTCTCTCTGCCTCCCAGGTACTGGCATTAAAATCTACCACACTGGGTTCATCTACTTCAGTTCTTTCTTGAGTTGCTGCTCTGACTTCCCTTCATGATAAATGATAAACAGAGATAAAACCTTTCCTCCCCAAGTTGCTTTTGGGCATGGTATTTTGCAGCAGCAATAGAAAACACACTAAGACAAGTGGCTTCTTCATACCCAGCTGATAACTTAGGTGGTATGTCTGGAACTTAGAACCTTTCTCCATTCCTAGCATGAGTGTATCTTAGCCAAGCTTCTGATGTGGCACCTCATTTACTGCAGCGCTCATGATTCAAGAAAGCAGAACAGAAACTACAAAATCTTTGTGACCTGGTCTTGTCCGTCATATATAGCATTGCGTGTGCTGCATTCTGTTTGTCATTGAGAGCCAGCGTAATTCAGTCTGGGAAAGGATGAGACAGTGTGTGAATACTGCAAAGCCTGGTCCACTTGGAGCAAACTGGAGACAGGTTATTGTTGGCCAGCTTTAAACTAGGGAGATGCAATTCACACATCTACTTACCCCTAAAGAGGAGCCCAAGACAGACAAAAATTCAGCTTGGTGAACCAGTGAGTTTTTATTGGTTTACTAAGAGGAGTAGGGGTATGGGGTCACTTACAGGAGCAGGGATGACTTAAAAAGCAGCTTCATGATTGACAGCCACTTCAGCACTCAAAAGCTGCCACTCTGAATCTCTCTGCAACTGGATGGGTCAGTCTCCTTCCCTAGGAGAGCAGTTGTTTACTCCTGTAAAGCTGGGGAGGTCCTTTCTAGAATCTTGCAGGTTTTTACTTACTCATACATATGTTCTGTTTACCTCCTGAGTCTCCCCTTTCCTCCTGGAGAAAAGTGCTATATGGCACTAGCTGCCATGTGTAGCTGTTCAGGGGGAAAGAGCTTTTTGCCTTTATGTTCAATCTTTCTTTGCCTTTTGTTTAATCTTTCAACATCTGTTTAGTTGAGTGGTGACTTTATAAATAAAGTGATATGGGGCTCTGTTAGATGGCTCAGTAGGTAAAGGCGCTTGCTACCAAGTGTGAGAGTCATCCCTGGGCCCACGTGATAGGAGAAAACTGACTCCCCCAAATTGTCATTTTAGCTACAAACATGTACTATCATACAGAGCAATTATTTAAAAAAAAAAAAAAATGAATATGTAAGCTGGGTGGTAGGGCAACAAACACCTTTAATCCCAGTACTTTGGAGGCAGAGGCAAATGGGTCTCTTGAGTTTGAGGCCAGCCTGATTTACAGAGTGAGTCCAGGACAACCAGGGCTACACAGAGAAACCCTGTCTCGAAAAATCAAAATATCTAAAGCCAGGTGTTGTGGTATATACCTTTAGTCCCAGCACTTGGGAGGCAGAGGCAGGCAGATTACTGTGAGTTCAAAGCCAACCTGTTCTACATAGTTTCAGGACAGCCAGAGCTTCATAGTGAGACCCTGCATCTTTTTAAAAAAATGTCGTAAGAGATTTGAGGTGCAGAGAAACTAACTTCTCTGGGTATGTATATGTGGCTCAGTGGTAGCATACTCAGCTGAGTTCATTCCTTACCCAGCACTTTAAAAAAGGTAAAAGGTAACTCCTCTGGAGCCACACATGAAACCTGAGTGTTGTAGTTTGTATGTGTACACACACACACACACACACACACACACACACATATTTGATCTGGTTCTGAAGGTGAAACCTATGGCTTTGTACTTGCTAGGCAAGCCTCTACCACCAAAGTACAGTGCTGAACATAAAAGTCCATGTAATGGAACCCGGTCACTATGACCATATCCTGTTTGTTCTCTCTCAGGTTCCTTTGGGAAAAGGACGGCGATGTGTTGTTTTAGCAGATGGATTCTACGAGTGGCAGCGGTGTCAGGGGACAAGCCAGAGGCAACCATACTTCATCTATTTTCCTCAAACCAAGACAGAGAAGGTATGAACAGTTGTGTGCACAGTATGTTTGGAAAGACAGAGGAACAAATCAAGGTCATAGAGCAGTAGGACACATATCTAGTGGTGACTCACTGTAAATACAAAATGATGCTCAGAACTATCTCCATTAAGTTGCATGCCTATAGTTTGTTTGTTTCTGAGATTATGATTGCAACATTTCGCCCTTTCCTCCCTCCAAACTCTACCATATACCCCCTCATGTTCATTGGCCTCTTTTTCATCATTATTGCATGCAGATGTATGTGTATACATACAAACATACACACACAATGTCCATGGAATGTTACTTATGTGTATGTTTTCAGTGCTGACCTCTTGACACTGGACGCCAGCTTGTGTGCTCTTCCCTAGGAATGATTATTTCTCCCACTCTCTGTATTTCTCATTTGTTGTATTTGTATAGGGTTGAGGCCTTGTGGGCTTTTCCCCCATCTACTTTTGCTTATGCTTTGGTGTTCTTGTTTAGCTCACTTTTGGGCAGTCATGTTGGTGAGACTTTATGGGTTTAGCTTCTGACGTTGTTAGGAGACACAACCTCACAGCAAACTCACTGATCCTCTGGCTCTTGTAATTTTCCCACCCTCTCTTCTGCCTCAGGTGCAGGAGTGTTTTTTGTAGCTGTGTCCATGGAGATTGTGCTCCACAACACTTCATTTTGATTCGTTGTGGTTTTCTGTAATGGTCTCTGTTGCAAAAAGAAATTTCCTTGATGAGGGGTGAAGACCACACTTATTGTGGCATGAGCACAAATGCTTAGATTGTTGTTAGGGATTATGCTATTAGTAAAGTGGTGGTAGTAGATTCCCCTCCTGCGTCTATGATGTCATTAGTACTGAGTAGTTAGTTTTAGTAGTTAGTAGGTTTCCAGTACCAGGCATGGGTTCCCTCTTGTTGACTCCAATTAAAGAGCTATTGGTTACCATCAAGGTACGTGTGCCACTACTGCCCCTTAGGATTATCATGCCTTGCTGGTCATTAATGTGGTTCTTAAGCATCATAATAGGTAGACTATTGGTTGCCTCCCTCTTTGGAAGCTTGCAAAGTGCCTTTTGGTTCCATAAAAGCTAGCCCTAAGGGATTTGGCATTTGAGTTAGTTCCAGCTCAGGGAACTTTGGGCCTTGTTTCTGAAGTGCGTCGTATATTCAGCAAACAAGAAAACAAGTCATTATGTCAGGACAATTATTTTTTTTAACCCACCAAGTTTCCACCTTTTTTTGGAATGATGCTGCTCTGAACACTCACGTGTAGGGAAGGCTTTGTGTGAATGTATATTTAGTACAGTTTGTGAGCATATAGGCAGCTGGCTTCTGGGTTGCCTAGCAACCTATGATGTCATCATGTGTGGTCCACCAGTGTGCGGCAGTTCAGCTGTGTATGCACAAGCTATAAAAAGACCCACCCACTACTTTGCCTCTCTCTTACTCTTCCTCTCTCCACCTCGATTTCTTTCCCCCACCATGTCGCTCTCTCTTTCATTTTCTTCTCTATCTCTCCACCCCCATCCAATAAATCTCTTTCATATAATATCTTTGGTGTGTGTGGCATCATTTTTAAATGAATACTAACAATTGGTACACTTGCTCACATGGTAATAATAAAAGCCTGTCATTTCAAAACCAAATTGAACTGAATACTTTCACTTTCTTTCTTTCAATTATTTTCTGTCTGCCAAAAGCCTTACTATTTTCCTTTCTTTGTATTTTTTAACTAAGCCTCTACAGACCAAGCTGGCCTTGAACTCAGAGGTCCCTTGCCTCTGCCTCCCAAGTGCTGGGATTAAAGGTGTGTAGCACCACTGCTGAGCAACCTCTTGTTCTCTTGTTTGCTTGCTTGCTTGCTTGCTTTTCTTTCTTTAGTCTTCTTTTTTGTTGTTGTTTTTTTGTTTGTTTGTTTGTTTTTTGAGATAGGGTCTCTCTGTGTAGCCTTGGCTGTTCTGGACTCACTTTGTAGACCAGGCTGACCCTGAACTCACAGAGATCTGCCCGCCTCTGCCTCCCTGACTGCTGGGATTACAGGCATGCGCCACTGTATCGGCACATAACTTTTTGCTCTCTTAAGGGGGCACTAATGCCATTTTTGTTCCAGGCACCCAGATGCCCATGGCTCTGTGTGCTTATTCAGGTAGAGGCCAGAGTTTGATGCTGCATGTCTTCCTCAATTGTCCTTAAAAAAAAAATTTTTTTTTTTTGAGACAGGGTTTCTCATTGAACTGGAAGCTCATTGGTTTGTGTAGGCTGGCTGGCTGGCTAGCAAGCTCCCGAGTGGTAATAGGCACATGCCACCATGTTGTCCAATTTTTTATGTCAATATACTGGGCATGAGAACTCAGATCTTCATGCTTGTGTGGGAAGTACTTTACTGGCTTGTACCATCTCCCCAACTGCTTTTTAATTGATGGGTTTCGTTTTGTTTTGGGTTTCTGGGGTGGGGGGTGGTTTTGTTTTTGAGACAGGGTCTCTCTATTATGTAGCTCTGGAACTACTCTGTAGATCAGGCTGGCCTCAAACTAACAGTGATCTGCCTACCTCTGCATCCTGAGTGCTGGGATTAGAGGCATGTCCCACTAAAGCCAGCTTGAAGACTGGTTTTATATTTCTGAAAAAGCATGTATTTATATATGTTAGATGTGTTATATTATTTGATTTGGTACATAGTTCTTGAATGTTATCTTCTGAATTTCCCTTTTTCTCTGTGTTTCAGTTTGGGTATTGTTCATTGTTTAGAGGGCCTTTAATATTAACTAAGTCATCTGGGAAATGTAATCATGCCTTAAGTCTGGTTCTGATTTCTCTTGGCAGTGGATTCTTTTTTCCTAGGATGTGTGTGTGCGTGTGTTTGTGTGTGTGTGTGCATGTGTTTTATAATTTTTGTTGTTAGTATATAGGGCAGAGACCAAAATTAATAATAATTATTTATGGGAATCTTCTATTATGCCTTTACATGTTAGATCAAGTCACTCTCATAGGAATGGAACAGGGTTTAAATTTTGCTATTTTCATCTTTTTTTTTTTTTTTTTTTAATTCAGCACAAGCCTTTATTTTTCTCTGGTGTCTCCTTGTTCTTTAGGTGAGCAGTGACACACCAGAGGGTTTTTTCCCTGTAGCTAGGCTCTTCTTGGTAATAGGCTCTTCCTGAGCTAGATTTTTTGGAAACTTGAAAGCCAAGTGAAGGTATTAAATTCTAAAAGTATTAAGAAGCCATAATCTACTGCTTCAGTGGACATTTGCCATGAAGCCTCTTGGTGTTGAAGATAATGGTTCAGACAGGGTCAAAATAGAATGAGCTGAATTGTTTCCAAGCTAGTGTACTGTCTGAAGCAGCACTGGGCATCTCTAACCAACCTGCTCTTTCCAGTCAGGTGGGAACGAGGCTGCAGAGAGTCCTGACAGCAAGGAAAAGGTCTGGGACAACTGGAGGCCGCTGACCATGGCAGGGATCTTTGACTGCTGGGAACCCCCAGAGGGAGAGCGCTTGTATTCCTACAGCATCATCACTGTGGACTCCTGCAGAGGCTTGAGTGACATCCACAACAGGCAAGTCCTGCTTTTTTCTGGGGAGAGGTTGCTCTGAGTTTAGAGAGTAGAAAACTAACTTGTGCAAATTATAATCATTTTTCCCAAAACATATATATATTCCCCAGAATGTTACCAACTTGCGTACAAAATTTACAGTGAAAAACACATGAAATAATTTGGATTTCTGAGACTTTAAAATATTTTTAGGGACTGGTGGTATAGTTTATGGTTGAATATATACTTAGCATGGCTATGGACTTACTAGGCCAGTGTGTATCACTGAGATTTACCCCCAGTTCACTGGCTCAGTAAACTATAGGAGCTCTTGTTACTCTTCCAAAGGACCCAGGTTTGATTTTTAGGCGGCTCACAACTGTCTATAATTCCAGTTCCTGGGGATCCACTTCCTCTGGCATCTACAGATACCTGCAGTTTACATGCACATTCCCACATACAACACACACTTCTACACATAATTATAATAAAAATAAACCTTTTTAAAAGTACGTATTTGTTAAAGTTAAAGCATTGGCCTGTTAATATGTTTATACATTTGTCTCCCTAAAATCGGCTGTGCCAGTCAACCAGTAAAATGTGTGCCTGGCCTATAAAACTAGAAGCTGATATCCTGGTTTGCTTTCCATTGTTGTGATAAAGACCATGATCAATTGAAACTTGAGGAGGAAAGGGTTTCATTCCCATCCTAGTCCATCATGAAGGGAAGTCAGGGTAGGAGCTCAAGCAGGAACCTGGAGTCGGGAAGTAAAGCAGAGGCCATAGAAGCAATCTGCTTACTGGTGTGCTCAGATACTTTTCTTAGATAGCCCAGGACCACGTGCTCAGGGGCAGTACCACTCACGGAGGGCTAAGCTCTTCTCATCAACCAGTAATCAAGAAAATGCCCTGCAGACATGCCTATAGGCCAGTTTGAGTCAGGCGCTTTCTCAGCTTTTCCCTCTATCTTCCCCAATGGCTCTAGCTTATGTCAACTTGACAAAAAGTAACCAGCACAGGGGAAATAAGGTTGAGAAGACAATACTCTTAGTGCCAGTTGTGGTGGCACAGGCCTATGAACCGAGCACTGGGAGGCGATGGTGGGAAGCTCCCACAAGTTTTCACAAGTACTTCATAGCAAGAGCCTGTCTCAGATAAGACAATTACCAGTGAAACATCAAAGAATAATAGTATCTGGTTTTGGGAGCAAATTGAACATTTTATCAAATGAATAGTCACCTTTTACCTTCTGTGTCACTGCTAGGATTCCGTGAGTCCCATATTCACATGCATTTGTGGCTTTTTCTTACCGCAAAAAGCTTTGGGAAATGTAGCTGTATTTGAAACTACAAAATCAATACTGGCATTAATAATTAAATAATTGTGCTTACGCTTTGAAAAAAGTTCCAGCATTTTTTTATGTTGCTCCAGATATGGACCTGTATTTTTACAGCATTGTCACTGATGGGTTTTACTTCATAGCTGTTGTCTTCGAAATAATCATGTTCTCATTTTTATTTCAAAATGCTTATCATTTCTAACTTCTCAGTATTTAAAGTAGTTATATTTGTATATACAATCTAACGTGTTTGAGGCAAGAAACCTAGGCATGTTTGAGGTGTTAAATTGAGTATTTTCTGTTCTTTCTTCTTTTATATAAATCTTTTTTCAAGCATATTTAATGCTTTGCATGTATGTTTGTTTGAGGGTGCCAGATCACCATGGAACTGGAGCTATTGGCAATTGTGAGCTTCCGTGTGGGTGCTGGGAATTGAACCAGGGTCCTTCGGAAGATCTCTCCAGCCTCTGAGTATTTTCAAATTATGTAAAAATTATCAAATGCAAAACAGTAGCAAAATACAGCTTGAGTGTGTGGTCAACAAAATAGCTGTGGGCGTCTGAGAGGGGATATGTGCATGTTTTGTATATTCCTGAAAAATCATTTCCACTGTGGGCAGTTTTTTGTGTTCACCCTGTTTTTGTTTTATTAATTTTATTAAATCTTTTATGTATATGAGCTTTTTTTAAAGTTTCAAACACATCTTTATTAATCACATATAAACCATTACAGTCCACACATTTTTGTCAATAAGAAATACATTTATTTCTATAGCATAAAACTGAGCTTTGAAATTTGACACACTCTTAGAAAGCATTTTCTGCATCTTCCTGAACATGGTAGTGTTTTGTCTGCTAATGGTTATGAAAACATTTAAAGTAGTTGGTAAGAAATCAGGTGAATATAAAGGATACGACCTTTTAAAGCACTAGTTGTGAGATGGGTGGTTGGCTGTTGTCAGAGAGAAGACATTGCCAGAAGAACTGGTCCTTCTCTATTGGTCATTGCTGCCTTCTGGGATTGCAGTTTTGGTGCATCTCAGTTTGCTAAGCACGCTTCTCAGATGTAGTGGTTTTGCTGGGCTGCAGAAAGCTGTAGTAGATGAACTGGTAGCAAACACCAGGCAGTGTGAATTCTTGGGAACTCTTGTGTAGTCATAAGAGGATCAGCTTTATTGATTAGTCATCGTTGACTTTTGGTGACTGGCACCTGCTCATCTTCAAGGCCCTCATTTTCTTGGCAGAACTTCTTGACCCATCTCGGCCTTCTCACATTTTTTCATGATTCTTTTGTCTTTCTACATTTGTAGATCAAATAGCAGGTAGGGGTAATCTTGCCTCAATATCTGTTGAGTAACAATGATATTGATCATCTCCTTTCCACTTTTGACTTTAGTTCAGTGGTGGTTTTCATAACAGTATAAGAGGGTTCGGATTCATGATAGTGAACAAAGGCGTGGTGGCAGGAGCAGTTAAGAGGTCATATAACTTAATCTGAAAGTAGGAGTTGGAGAGAACATATATGAGTGTTTTGCCCGAATGTGTGTGTGCACTCTACATATGCATGCCATCTACCTGCTGAGGTCAAAGGAGGGCATCAAATCCCCTGGGACTGTTGTTCTCTCTCTCCATAGCCATGACTGTGTTCATGGGTTCCAGCATGTGTTCCAGACTGGTCTCGCTCACAGAGATCCACCTACTTCTGCCTTGCAAGTGCTGGGATTAACGGTATGCACCACCATGCCGCTTCCCACCCACTGCTTCCTACTGATAATATTTTGCAGAAGCAAATGTAAAACTTGCTGGTACGTCAGAGGCACTGCAAATAGGTTGGCAAATTTAAAACAAACACTAAGGTCAGATCTGCCATTCCTGCTGCTAGGAAGGTGAAACAGGAGGATTGATCTTGAATTCAAGTCTAGCTTAAGCAACTTAACAAACCTTTGCCTTAAAAAGAAAAATGAGCCATGAAATTTCATCAGTTAATGATACTATCAGGTTGTATTGGGAACTTGGAGCCATGTGAGGTAAGAGGGAGGACCAGTAGCCTCTCTGATGCCTTAATTATCAACTGACTCAGTTTCTTTCCTTGTGCTACCCTTATCTACCTCTTCATTGGATCCTGCCAGGATGCCTGCCATACTAGATGGAGAAGAGGCAGTCTCCAAATGGCTTGACTTTGGTGAGGTTGCCACTCAGGAAGCTCTGAAGTTAATCCACCCCATAGACAATATCACCTTCCATCCAGTTTCTCCAGTGGTGAACAACTCCCGAAACAACACTCCTGAGTGTCTGGCTCCTGCTGATTTGGTGGTTAAGAAGGTAGGGACTGTGACTAGTCCGTTCTGAGACTCCTGCGCATCATCAGAACTTTAATATTTATCTCATTTGATTTCATGTGATTTGAATTTTAGGGTCTCACTATGTTCTGCCTAGCCTGGAACTTGGCTATGTAGACCTCAAAGTGGCCTCAAACTCACAGAAATCCATCTGCCTCAGCCTCCTTATTGCTGGTATTTACTGAAGCCATCTACTACCATAACTGGCTTTTTTGTTGTTCTTTTTCAAAATTGGGTTTCTCTGTGTAGCCGTGGCTGTCCTGGAGTCACTTTGTAGAGCAGGCTGGCCTCGAACTCACAGCAGTCAGCCTGCCTCTGCTTCGCTGAGTGCTGGGATTAAAGGTATGTGCCACTATGCCTGGCTATTGTTTTCTAAGTTTTTTGTTTGTTCTTTTTGTTTTGGTTTGGTTTTTTGATTTGTCTGTAGATTTATTTTTTGAGCACATACCTATAATCCAAGATGCTACAGAGAGATGAGAGCTGCTTCCACATGTCAGTGGGGCCAGCTCTCTGATGTGGAACTTCCCTTCCCATTGCAGGCATTTGCCCATTCATGTTCCTTTAATCCCCTGCATCCTTGCTGAATGCTGAGAAGTTACAGAGCGTGTGCACCTGTGTTGAGAGGCCAGAGAACAACTTCAGATACCATCTTCAGAAACACCGAGTCCACTGGCCGGGAGCTCATCACTTAGGCCAGACTAACTGGCCAGAGAGCCTTAAGGATCCTTCTGCTCTGCATCCCAGCTCTGGGATAAAACATGTGTCACCATGCCTAGCATATTTATGCATACAGATGCTAGGCCTTCACACTGCAAAGCAAGTACTTTACTGAGCTGTCTCTCTGCCTCCCGGCTGTGATTCTTTAATGTACTGTTTTCACAACTACAAATTGGAAGAGCTCCAGTTCTCATTCTCTTCCAGAGTACCTGAGAGCATTCTTGCAATGCTCTGTAACTTCTCAGCCTATAGCAAGGACCAGGTGATTTGTTTTTAAGGAACATGAATGGGCAAATGCCTGCAGTGGGAAGGGAAGTTCTGCATCACAGAGCTGGCCCCACTGACATGTGGAAGCAGCCCTCATCTATTCGGCATGCAGGGGCCAAGAGCAGCATTCCCCTTGGTGCAGGATTCTCAGTGCTGGTGCAGTCTCCGAACTGAGGACCAGCCAGCCTCCTGCCTTGCCCCTAAAGGCTCTTGTTTGCCTTACTGATGATCATTGTCATTGCTTCTCCTCTGAAATATTTTACAGTTCTGACCCTGAATAATTTTTTTTTCTCTAAAAATTTAATTATGGGGTCAGCAAGAGAGCTCAGCAGGTACAGGCAATTGTTGATTCTCTTAATCCACTCCTACAAATAACCTCTGATCACCATATTCAATTGGTGGCATGTACATACCCACATACATAATAGATGTAAAACTTGAAATGTAGTTACATAATTCTCCTTGGACTAGACAGGTCAGACAGGGTTTCTCTGTTATAGCTCTGGCTGTTGTGGAACTGTATCTGTAGACTAGGCTAACCTTGAATTCAGAGATCCACCTGCCTCTGCTTCCTGAGTGCTGGGATCAAAGGCCTGCACCACCACTGTCCAGCGATAGTAATTTTTTTTTTTTTTTTATTGTCACAGTGCTGTTTGTTTATAAAGAACTTATTTCAGAGGATCTTCATCTCTGGACTCCCTCAGTCTCTAGAAGGAGGATATTAAAATTAAGTCATCTTGTTCTAAATAAATTTTGTTTGATAAACCTGTGTGTTGGGTGTGGCACACAGGCAGCAGAGGGGTAGTGACAGTCAAGAAACCATTGAGCCTGAGTGTGGTGGCAGCTTCACTTCCCAGCCTCCCATCCCCTGCCATTGATCCCTGAATTTCTTAGAAGGCAGTTCATTGCCTGCATGTTAGGAAGATTCTCCAGCTCCACGCTGACTCTAAGCACCCTGGGAGCACTCAGCAGCCCTCTTTATTTGCACCCGTAGTAACACTCTGCAAGCGTAGATTGGGGGTGGGGTAGTACATGCTTTCTCCTTCACTTTATCTTCCCTCTGAAGATCCAACCTGGATGCTGTGAGACTTCCCTCTCTCTCATAGGAGCCCAAGACAAGTGGAAGCAGTCAAAGGATGATGCAGTGGTTGGCTACAAAGTCGCCCAAAACGGAAGTCCCTGAATCACCCAAAAAGGATGTATCAGGCTTACCCCAGTGGTCCAGCCAGTTTCTACAGAAGAGCCCATTGCCTGCTAAAAGAGGTGCCAGCAGCAGCTTCCTGGATCGATGGCTGAAACAGGAGAAGGAGAACGAGCCCATGGCAAAGAGGCCTAACAGCTAGTTACAGACTCCTCCACCCCAGGCCACAGCTGTTGTCACCAGTTGACTGGATTGTATCCATTTACTTGGGAAGGTGGTAGCACAATGTCAGCTGTGGGCATAAGAGGACATGGCTACTGTGGGACAGCCTAAGGAGAGGGCTGGCTGCAGTGGCTAGCCCTGTGGGCCCTGCTACCCCTCAGGCTCAGCTGGTAGTCTTCTCTCTGCCTCCCTGCTGGGAGCTTTCCTGTTCCTGGTGTTCCTGGAAGGAGGACCTTCTTAATCTCTGGGCTCTCTTCTAGAATTAAGTTCTTAAAATGTATTTTGTTCTAAATAAATTGTGTTGATAAACCTTGGCTAGCAAAAGTTTTTTTCCTGGTATTTAAAGAATGTTTTACCACAAAGGGGCCAGCCACTGGGCCTGGCACTTAGCTTAGTGCCAGCTCCTTCCTTGTACAGCCTTTCACTTTTTTTTTTTTAAAGATTTATTACGTATATAATGTTCTGTCTGCATGTACACCTACCTGCCAGAAAGACACCAGATCTCATTATAGATGGTTGTGAGCCACCATGTGGTTGCTGGGAATTGAACTCAGGACCTCCAGGAAGAGCAGCCAGTGGTCTTAACCTCAGCCATCGCTCCAGCCCCCAAGCCTCTCACTCTTAAAAGTTCAGAGTGCTCAGTGTTTAGTTTTAAATCAACCTGCCGTACTCCACTGAGTAATTGGTCAAGACGCTGCTCTTAGCACAGAAAGAGTGCCTCTAATGCTGCGTAGGAGTCTGAGCAGCAGGGGCTCCGCAACTGCAAGTGGAGCCTGAGTCAGAGGCACTTTGCTGGGGGGACGTGGGGGTGTCATTTTGTTTGGGATGCTGTTTCTCTTGGCAGGTAAAAATCCCTGAACGCAATGACTTCCACTCGTTTTCTCCTTTTGTTAACAGGGTCAGAGTATTTGACCAGGTGCCGTTCATTTAGTCGTGTTGGTCCAATGTTAGTGGAATTGCTGCCTAAGCGAGCGCAGGTGCACGGGTTTGTTGAGCTCGTGTGAGCCTCCATGTGTGCCTACACTACAGCACGCCTAAAGTGCGCGGGACGGGAGTGCAGGATGGCTACCCCTGCCAAAGGATGGGCCCTCTAGGAGGCCTCTCGGCAAAGCCCCTAGAGAAGGTGCAGAGACTAGGGCAGTTGGCGCGGATGGCTCACGGGAGGGGAGGGCCCCTCCCTCGGGCATAGACGGGAACATAAACCAGGGCTCCGCTCTTTCGAGGCTGCTGCGACTGGGTGGGACCCTGCGGCGCCGGCGGGGCTGGCCTCCGGCGCTATGCAAATAAGGGATCCGGGTTTCCACCAATCTCGTACCGATCCTCTGTTGTATGAGCGCGCGTGTGGCGCCCACCCAGCGCAGGCGGGTCCTTGGGGGCGGAGCCAGGTGCATGCAGGCCCAGGCCTTCCCCGGCTGCCTTTTCCGAGCACGGGAGGTTGTGGCTTGACCCACGGTCCAGACATCGTGTGTTTCTGCTGTGGGCTCTGGTTTACGGAGTGATCTCATTTCTATGAGATTTTTGTTTTAAATTCCACACCCAGCTGCTTTTCTCTAAACAGCTCTTGCCTTGAGTTCCTAGAGCCTGCCAAAGGGCTCATTTGAGGTTAGCGGGAGGGCTTTCTCTGCTCGGAGGATGGAGCAAGGAATGGAAATCCTGGAACCTCGTTCCCTGCTTGAGTGCTCGAAAAGCCTTTGCCAGCTTGGCCTGAATGCTTGAAAAGTCCTTTGCCGTCTCGGAGCTTCAGTTAGACCCGGGGAGCCACAGAGTGGGCAAGTACTCACAACCTTGTCAGCACCCAAGAAGAGCAGGTGTCAGCCCTTGAGATTCAGGACCTACGTTCAGCGTGGCCTGCCTCTCACGAAGCTGACTGGAACTTCTGCAGGCGGCAGAGGCGAGGCCTGCCACGCTGCCGGCTGTGTTGACGGTGCTCTCGGCCCGCAGCAGGAGCTGGCGGCTGTTTGGGGGGACAGCTGTCATAAAGGCAGTGAGTGGGCCCTCACGCTGAAGGACGGGTCAGAGTGCAGGGCCGTCCTGATGGGGCTGTGGGACGGGAGCGTCTGCAGTCGTAAATCCAGTCTACTCTCCGGTCCTCAGGGGCACCCTGTGAGGAGGGAGTGTCACCGCGGCACAAATGTTGTTGATTGAGACCATGGCCATCAACAGCCTGCGGCTCCTTCAGGACATCACCATAGGGACTCCTTTCACTTCGAAGTTGTCTGTGCACATGTGCGCCTGCGGGCTTCTGTGTGGGTGCGCGCGCGTATGAATACAGAGACACGGCACAGTGTGCACGTGGAAGAGGGCAACCCAAGGGAGTTGAGTCACTCCTTCCATGATGCAACTCCTAGGTACTGGACTCAGGCCATCCTGCTTTGCAGCAAGCACTTCTAGCCGCAGAGCCACACCAGAAGAGGAAATCGGAGATCAGGCTGAGGGACCTGAGAGCTTGAGAGCTGCAGCAGGGCAGTGGTGGGCCACCACGGTGGAGGTGCCCTGCTTGCTAGCTCAAGCTCCCTGCTTGCTCAGTGTCCTGACTAAAGAAGATGCCTACATAAGATTGGACTGTCAGTAAACCTGCCCTCAGGTGTTTTCTCTGTACGTTTAAGTTTGGCCCTAATATCAGGGAAACTCTGGGTAGTAACTCTTGTAACTACACAGGTAGGAATCTTCGTGGTGGTCTTTAAGGTGTAGCATGGGAGAGATGAAAAGTCCAAAAACAAGCCGCAGTGGTGCACGCCTGTAATCCTAGCACTCAGGGAGGAAGAGGCCAGCTTGATGTACAAACTGAGTCCAGGACAGCCAGGGCTACACAGAGAAACCTTGTCTTGAAAAAAACCAACCAACCAACCAAACAAACAGAACAAGAAAAAAGCCAGAAAAAAAATACCTGAGGTTGCCTAAGGCCTTTCAGCCAGCCATAGTGACTACCCAGGCTCCCTGGTCTCCCAGGGAACCCTCAGGTCCTTCCCTGTGGTCAGGATGGTCACTGGGCCTGCGTCAGCCCAGACTTGCGAACCCCACCAACCATGTCCAAAGTGCCATCAAGAAGGACATTGGGCTTCTGACTGTCCCTGTGGCCCATGAAGTCCTGATGGAGTTTTGGGGACCTGTCTCTCCTTCTTGTTCCCCTATTGTCGGGGTGGAGAGACAGGCTTGCCAGTTCCACCAAACCCCACCAAGTAGCTGTATCTTTAGGAGTGTTCACTTTACCCACTCCTTCCTGACGGCACCTTCCTGTCCTGTCCCCTTGCTGGAAAGAGACCTCTTCGCCAAAATGGGAGCCTCTATTTCCTTCCACCATCCACCACCCATCCAACCCCAGGCTCACCAACTGTTCCCCTCCTCCTTCTCCTCCAGCAGAGAAAGATGGTCTTTGTCTCTTCCTCGGGGAGAATGTTGCTTCCTAACTAACCAGTATAGTAAAAGACAACATCAGAGAACTCCAGATGAATCTCCAAAAACAGAAGAAATAGCTCGATGCTTCTGGCCAGTGGCTCATTGACAGTCCAGGATGGAACTGGATACTACCCTTCTTAATACCCCCTTTCCTTTTCTTAATCCTACTAGCTGCACCCTGGCTTCCAAACTTCTTGTCTAGATTTCTTCAACAACAGATCCAAAACTTTTTTTAAAGATTTATTTTATGTATATGAGTGTTCTATCTGCATTTACATCTGTCAGAAGAGGGAATTAGTTCACTTTATAGATGGTTGTAAGCTACCATGTGGTTGCCAGCAATTGAACTCAGCACCTTTGGAAGAGCAGACAGTGCTCTTAACTGCTGAGCCATCTCTCCAGCCCCTCCAAAAGTTTTCTAACTAGACTCCTAATCAGTTGCTATTACAGGAGTCAAAGGCCTGCAATTTACAGTAAGTTCTATAAGAAAGCAGGCTGAGCAAGCTATGAGGAGGAGCAAGCTAGCAAGCAGCACCCCTCCATGGCCTCTGTGTCAGCTCCTGCGGAATTCCAGGAAGGATCCTGTCCTGACTTCCTTCAGGGATGACAGTGATCCACAAGCACAAGGGAGCGCTAACTGGGACCGTGTGGGATTGTGAAGTCTCAAAGCCACCCCCAGTGACACACCTCCTTCAACAAGGCCACGCCTCCTAATCCTTCCCAAACAAGAGGTCAAGCAGATGGACCTACCTGGGCCATTTTCATTCAAACCACCACAGGCAGCACTACCAGCTACATTGGGGCTGTAAGAGGAACGATCAGGGGCCAGGACATAGGTCCTTGCAGGAAAGGGCTTCATGGGTGGAAAGGGACAATCAGGAGACTTGGGTAGGAGCCAAGCCACGGGCCTCCCCTCGACAGACTGCACAGCACTAGCTGCTCCCTGTCATAGGCTGGCGCTGGTCCTCTACGTGGACCAGCTAGAGAATTCTCTTGGTCACTGCTCCACGGCTATGAAAAGACACCACAACAAGGCAGCTTCATCAAGGAGGGAAGCAGGCAGACATGGCGCTGGAGCAGTAGCCTTGTTTCCTGACCCAGCAGTGTCCTATGTGCCTACAAAAACCAAAAAGCTGTCTGAAAGCAAGACGTGTCAGTAAGAACCTAGTGGGGTCAGTGCCACGCAGGAAGCCGTGCACAGGGCATGGCAAGCTGACTGGCGGCTGGGAGGGAGACCCAGAATGCATGTGCTCCACATCAGCTGTGCATTGTTAGCACCGTTCCAAACACACTCTGATTTGCACTGTTTTTCCTCATGCTTTGAGTTTTGTGTGTGTGT